GAAGTGCCTGCCCTGTAAATGTTGCTCTTGGGTTGAGGGCCTTGTTCCTCCAGAGCTGTAAATCACAGACTCAGAGCAGTCTATCACAAATAGGCCCAGGGCTTAATATACATATTTTCTGATTAGAGGTGCCTTCCTGCACGAGGCTCTGAGTGAGTGAATGAGGGGTTCTTGCAGAAAGACCTTTTGCATCATTTATTTGGAAAACAAGTAGTGCAGTAGGACCCAAGCCACTATAGCAAAACGAACCTGTTACTTAACCTGGACTAAAATATTTGGTCCAGCTTCTGTAAACGTGGCAGATTAGGCACAGGCACTTCAACGGTGCTCCTAATGTGCTTATCTTTAAGAACATTATATACAGAGGATTCAAAACACTGTTAAACAGAAGGAGAGAATCAGATTTGCAACAATTATAACAGATATCAGAAACTATCAGCTGATAGAAATGACTGCTGTTTTAATATGCTTTTTAAAATAACATTGTTGTAAGTCTAAAAACTACATTAATTCAAAGATGTGATAAAGTGTTTATCAGTTTAATCAGTTCCTTTGTTAGATAAGTCTGGCACGATGTGCTTTGCCCATTCCATCCCCCACTCAGGAAGTGGCTCAGATGGCTAAATGTGGGGGTTTAATGTCACCTCAATCTTGGGACTGTCAGGTGGGACTTTAGGCCTGCAGGAAACTTGGACTTTCCTGAGGTGTACCTGAAGGCTGGACAGGACATCCTTGAAAGCTGAACATGGAGACTCATGTGGAGGCTGAATTCCTCCCTGAGTCACTTGTGTTCAGTGAATTATCCTGTGCATGTCACCGACAGAGCAAAATGTTCTGAGGGGAAAAGCTAATCACAAAAGCAGCTGAAACTGCAGCTGCATCTTGTGCTTCTGACCTGACATACAATTATCACATGCAAAAGACACAAGGAAGTGTGAAGTCCAATCATAACATTTTTTCTATTTATATATATATATATATATATATATATGATATTTTGAGGTCCCAATTTGATACTTCTTCAGCTGATAAGAACATCAGTGACAAAACTAAATCTATTTGAAATCAGTACATTTCTTCTTTTTGTTTGTTTATTACTGCAAAAATGAAACCAACCCTGAACGCCTACCTGTGTCCTCAGGTGGGAGAGACCTCCTTTCAGCTCTCTCTTCAGTGAATATTTGATCATTCTTATGGAGTGGAAAGGCCCCAAACAGGAAGACTGCAGGAGGGGAGAGGGCATCCAAAGAGTAGCCAACAACCTGTTGCTCAGCCCACTTTACCAGGAGATCTGTAGCTGGCACTTTTAAAAGCTTCAGTTTCAAAAAAATTCGGCACTCTTTAATTACCTCTCCTGGGTGTAATTCCCAAAGAATCTGTGTGTTTTGATCTCCAGCGATTTTGTCTGTTCACAGATCTCCTGTTGTGTACTTTACTAAATGATCCCCACTTTGGGTTAAAGTTTGAGGGGTTTTGTTTTGTTATTTTCCCCATTCCTTTGCTTTTATTAGTGAATAATGAGCAAAGAATACTTTATTTGCCCTTTTTCTAAAAATAACATAATAATGCAGCCTTGAAGGATGGGCTCTTTATAAAGATCTATGTTCCTTTATCTTACTTGCTGATATCTCTGTCTGTAGCTCTCTTCCCATGTATCCATCACAAAGTTTAGGATGAGCAGGGACTGCCACATAAAGTCACCTCCCCAGGAAAGCCAGAGCATCTCCCAGGGCTCCAGGAGAGCAGCTCTCCTCCAGCTGCTGCATTTAGTGTTTTGTTTTCCTAAACTTGGCTTCAGTGGCAAGTGCTGATTCAGCAGCTGAGCCAGTGACTGTGAGCTGCCTATGCAGCAGGTTGATGAGCTGATTGTGGTATTAACTGTAACTCATTATCTGGGTTCACATTCCCAAATGTCTCCCATAATTTACCGTCATGGAAAGAGTAAAACTGTTGATATCAAGTGAAACCCTCGGTTACCTGAAGGGGGTGAGAAAGATAAAAGGGTGAAATCCTGGTAGGAAGTGAATTTACATCCTAAATGATAAAGCCAAATGAGGTCAGGCTGATACCACCTGATGGAAGGTGCATTCATGATTTTTTTCCCCACCATCTCCCAGACACTGATACAAAGCAACAATATGCCAGTTACTTATAAATATCAGATCCCAGTCATCTGTACTTGATGCTATTTTAAACTCTTCCACGTGAGAAAAATGGTTAAAAATAAAAATACAGCCTTTTTATTCTTCTCTAAATGTTCTGTTCAGTTCTTCTTGCTGAGAGAATCACAGACCTGTCTATAAATATCTAACCCAGATCTACAATTGCTTGTTAAAAAGAGGGTGTTTGATAGAAAATTGAATGAAACACAAAATGTCTTTTATTATATTTTTATTACAGACCAGATGTGGCCTCTCAGTTTACCCTCTATCATTTGGAGATGCACATTCACCGAGAACATTGCATGTGTGTATGTAAATATTTTGATGTTGTCATGGCATAATAAAGGGTAATTGATTAGAAAAATCCCGATGGGATTTTCCACTTAAGAGCACATTGCTGGTTTAGCACTATTGTCTTCAAACTAAACATGTACGAATGCATCTCTTTTGATTGATCCCAAACAAAAAGCAGCAGTTAAACAGGCAAGGATTTGGCTTTTGGTCAACGAATAGCACTGGCAAGTTGAATGAAAGTCGTGCAGCCAAGAGGTGCAGCGAGCTGGGTGTTCGATGTGTGGTCGATGCTGCCCCTCACCAGGCAAACACTGCTCCCTTCAAATGAGAATGGGATGAATCCGAGGTGGGATAAATGGTGACCTCCCTGGCATGGAAGAGGGAACAGAAATCCCATCAGATCATCCCACTTCCTTCAAACTACCCTTTACTATTTCCACACCAACTATTCATCTTCCATAGGTTGTGGGTGTTTTCAGTCTCTCTGAATACAAAGAACAACATTTAGAGTACTGAGCTAAGGAACTGGGTTTCTCTGCTGTTTGACTTTGGCATTTAATCACCTGTAAACACTATTTGGAGACATATATTTCTCTTTAAATTCCTGTGGGAGCTTAGCTACATGTAGTGCAATCAATACACGCTGAAAGGCCCTAATTGAGAATTTCTGGATGCAGAACAAGGGGAAACTGAAGAAAACTTGGACATACCTGCTGGTGCATTTTTCAGCTGAGCTGGGTTTTAACTCTGCCATTAATCAACAGCAAGTTCCCATATGGTGGTGTTGGAATAATAACCTTAAACTTCTCAGACCTGTTCCATTACTCAGGTACTGCATGCTCATAATTCTTTCCCTGCCAGCAGTTCATTTACAGGTGCCTCCCCCAAAACTGCAAGACAGCAAGTGTTTTGTTACAGCAGCTGGAAATGCCTGAAGGAGCTCTCTCTGTAGAGAGCACACGAATGAAGATCTTCCTCCCCAGGAGGATGGTGGCTGATGCTGTTATTTCTGCCACAGTTGGGTAGCGTGTGGAAGATGCCTTTTCTCACATATCAAGTACTATACTAAAGATACATGTAATGTGACAGTTTCTATAGTAACTACTTGTTCTTTATGGAATCGCAGATTAAGCCTGTACACCTTGTTATTGTTCTTTTATCCTATTATCTAGACTACTCAGTTACCACAGATACATTTTTTTATTCTATTCCCTTGCCAACATAACTATATCAGGGATTTATGCACTTGCAAGTAAAGAGTACCTATGAAAAAACAAAACACTGTTAGAAGTTCTAAATTGACCACTGCCTAATCTTACGGATGCACTAAGACATGTGAGCATATATACTGAAAGCTAAATTTTCCAAATAAAACTGTGGAGATATTTTTTATTACAGCAGGGCAAATTTATGATTTGAACACTACTGTTGTTTTGCTGGCAGAACAATGCAAGTTGGGCATATGGCATTTCTTTTTTAAATGCTAGGACTTTATCAGAACAACTTTGCTGGTCCAGATGTACTGGTAAACTCTTTTAGTGTGAAGAACACCTAAGATTCTGTACTTAGAGGAAAATTTCCTTCACGTGATATACTGATTTTTACATGAAAGTATTTCATTATTATAATTCATCAGTGTGACAGCTCCTGTGATAGTATCAGTACTGGGAGTGATATCATTTACAGGAATCAGATGCTTTCTGCACTGTATTATGTTGGCCTTATTGTGGGAAAAATGCCTGCATCCCGTGCGTATGAGTGTGTCTGCTGCTATCTCCAGCTGAAGTGTATCAGCAACAAATCATGCCTATAAAATTAGCAGTGCAGGGGGAAATCAGCTATTTGATCAGGGCTGAAGATTCAACAATGCAACTAGTATTGTAGCCAAAAGGAAAAAGACACAAGGAAAAATGTAAAATAGAAATTGGGTAAACCCGTTAATGAGATAAAGAGAAAATGATACTCCTCGTTAATTTTAAAAAGCTGTAGCAAATTACAGATATATAAACGCAAAAGGCAGAATGGCAAAAGCAGAAGGAAACATGCCCGGTACTGAGAGCAACTGAGTGATGGAAGGAAAGCGAACAGCAGGTAAGTCCTACGTAACTAAATAAGCTGTTTTTTCTCCCTTCACCGCATCATTCCAACGCGTCTGCGACTCGTTCCCCTCAAATACGCCCGCTGGAAGCGCCGCTACCCCTGCGGGCCCCGGCGGGGCGGTGCGGGCAGAGCCGGCGGCACAGGCCGGCAGCGCGGCCGTGCCCGCACATTATGTAATGCGAGTGCGGCGGAGCGAGAGCCGGGGACGAGCCACAGACCCCTCGTCACCATCGGCTCCTTCTGCGGCGCGGCGGGGCGGGGGCTGGGGGGGCTGCGGGCCCGGCCGCCCCCCGGGCGGCAGCGGCAGCGGCAGCAGGAGCGGAGCGGGGCCGGAGCGCAGCCGGAGCCGCCCGCCGGCCGCGCCGCCCCGCCCGCGGTACCCCCGCGGTTGGCGTGGAAACGGGCTGGAGCTCCGGCTCCTCCTCCAGCGCCAGCCCCGCGCTCCCCCTGCCCGGCTCCCCGGCGAGAGCGCCGAGCACCTCCCTGTCTCCCGCGGGGGGCCGCCGGACAAGTGTTCCCAACGCCGCCTCTAGAAAATCCCGGGGTTTTACGGCTGTGTTTTCTAGGGAGAAGATGGGAAAGGGCAGGTTCCCGCTCCTGCTGGGGCTGTGGGGTTAGTCCCCGCAGTCGCGGTGTGTCTGCTCGCGGCAAATCACAGATGCTGATGTGAAAAAGGGCCAAAGCAGAGGAGAGGCGTCAGTGGATGCGAGCGTTTGTACTGATGGATTGAGGAGGTGGAGGCTGCCTGGTGCTGGAGAGGTGAGTGCAATATTCTGCATTTTTTTCTCTCTTGAATCAGTTTAGTGATGAACATTTCCCTCTCTGTGTATTTCCAAAATAAAAAGGCACTTCTAAAACAAGAAGAAAAAGATGTCATTTTGAAACAATAAGCTATGATTTTGCTGGATGGAAAAGACGAATGTCACTGTGAGGTAGGAACATTTCACTGTGTGTAGAGAAAAAATAGTAAGGGGAGGCAGGCTGCTGATCCAGTGAAAATGACCTTCTCAAGGGATACTGGCCTTCTGTCAGCTGCTGCTTCATCTTGGGCCCTTTTTCACAAAATTAAGTCATCTCCCTTTCCTAGCCTGGGTTGTAAGCCATTATTGTCCAATACCTGAGCCTTAATAAGATCCATTGCGTTCTCTTAATGATTGAGAAAGATGATCCATTAGATTGTGCCTGTTGGGAGAAGAACCTCCACGCTATGTAGCACCTCCTCCCAGGGAAATGCAGCCTGGCTACCGTTCTGTCAGAAAAGGCTCCTGCTGCCCAATTTCTGTAATGAACCCTCCCGGTAACAGGCACATCTGCTCACTCTAAGGCTGGGTGGCTCTGCAGAGCCTGGACGCGCTCCCTGTCCGTGTGTGCCCATGCATGTGAAGGAATGAGCAGGGTTTACGTGAATCTGCACCTGTGGACGGCTCCCATCTGCAGTTGGGAACCACAAGTTTTTCGGTATCTTTGCATTTGCATTTTGGGTGAGTGATTCATGCACAAAACCCCCAGCCCTTCAATGTGAGCTGGGAGAGCTGCAGACAAATATGTGTCAGTTTAATTTCTGCTGATAGTACTGATCTGCTTTGGCTGTTGCACTGTCGGGGCTGTTTAACGTGTGCTTTTGCGGTATTTATTCTGGAAGCTACTGACCTATCTCGGCAACAATTTCCTGCGAAGATCTGAGAAAAAAACCCACTAGTTTTCCCTTCAGCATTTCTTTGTATTTCTTCATATCCATTTTCTGATACCCTTCCACCCACCACTGGGTTTTTCTTTGGGCTCTGTATTTCGCGCCATTGTGGGTCACACCCTTCGAGCGGCCGCCAGCATTTCATCCGTGGAGGTTATGACAGCAGGTCACATATTCCCAGTGCTGTGAACATCTACCTGTGGACCACAGGGGAGTAAAAATGAGAGGGTGTGTTTTGTGCTCAGGGGAATTTTGCTCTGACTTTGTGGACATGGGCGTTTGAAGTCCGAGCTGATGGCTTAGGTGCTGTCGGAGGCACAAACAGGCACTTTCCCTCAACAGGGCACACATCTGCAAGCTGAGCAGATACAGCTCTGCAGAGCTGAGAGCGTTGTGCCATTAACTAGCCTGTCTCCAACAAATCATTTGTTTGGAAGCTATCATGCAAAAAGCACAGCTCCCTGCCCTTGGGTAGAGGACATTATCACAGGAGAGGCCTGTGTGTATAGAAGGATGAAGTTCCAGTCTTCAAGAAGCCAGTGACAGGTGTAATCGAAAGAAAATATCTTAGTTAAAAGGCATATTTAGGAGAAAAACTCATCCTATCTCTCATTACCAAAGCACTGACTTGCATTTTCAAAGCAGAATCCCCTTCTGTGTGCATACACATGCTTATAAAGAAAAAAAGCTGATTAATTCTGTGTAAGCCATGGAAATTTCATTCTGACAATGGACCTTACAGAGATGAAGAGACTCCGTGTGCTACATGCAGAATGCACCTCTGGCTGAGGATTATGAGCTTGTCACTTCATAGGCCACTGGTGAACAGAGTTGAATAACTCTTCTGGAGGTACTGCCTTGAATTTTGTAAGCCTACAATAGAGTTTAGTGTTTCAGCTACAGGCCTTGGTTTTGAATTTAACAGTGATAATCTAAAAATAACCAGCCAGGTAGCTCAGAAAGACTGAAGTGAAAGTGTTCTGGTTGTCTCAGTTCTGATTACACACTGATGGAACAAGGTAGGGTAAATTTTAAGAAATCGAAGCAGAAACACAAACCAGAAATTTGTCCCTTCCTCTTAAGGAATCTACCTGCTAATGGAAGGGGATAAGGATAATAGACAATTCAGCAGGCAAAAAAAGCTTAATCCTTAAATGGTGAAGTCAGCTCTTCCTCTCCAGCTTAAGCAGATAAGGATTTTGACAGCAGATAGTCCTGAGTGATACTCAGTGGTGAGGCAACAGAAGAGAACGATGTCTTCTTCTTTCTCCCCCTCCAAGAATTAAACAAAAATACTCTCAATTCCTTTGGGTTGAATCACAGCAATTCCCTTTCTTCCAGAAGAGATTCTCCAGATTTATGTAACTGAAAATGGGAGTTGAATCTCACTAGTTCTGTGTAAAGTTTTGGTCCCTGGAGTGGCTGGAAGTGTTGTCCCTGATTTCAGTGGGAGAGCTCACACAGCACCACTGACCAGGCTCTCCCTTCCCCTCCAGGAACAACAATGTTGACCAGTTTAGTAGCTGACTGCAGTGGGGTCACGGGCTCAGCGACAAATTCAGTAACTCTTTACTTGCATGACAAACTTGAGTTCTTAAATTATCAGTGATTTGACTCATATTCTTTTTCCTGGGAAAACTGGAGTGTTATTCCCACAAATTCTGTTAAGGTTGGCATTACACCTTCAGCAGGAACAGCTTCTACAGAAGCAATGAACTATTTTCTTTTATCTAAGAGAACTTTCAAAGCAAAGCCCTTAAAAATCAAAATATTGGCATACTTGGATAAAATCCTATTTATACTTTGAGAGAAAAATTGTCTTATTTTTAGTAAAAAAGAATGGTAAATTTTGTTCCTTGTGATCACCAAAGTATCCAGAATAAATCCACATCCTTTACCAGTTACAACAGATTCCCTTCACTCTACTCCAGACAATAATTTGACTTAAAGTTTGTAAATTATATTCAAAGTTCACATTTTTATTAAGCTTTCCAGAACCCAAGAGTGGTAATTAGGAAGCCCAAATTTCAGCTACCATACTGATGAGAGAATAATCCCCAAAGGGGAAAACTAGACTGTTCCAAGCAACCAAAACTCTTTGAAAAGTGCTCTGGCAATTTAAGGTATGTGGAATAGACAACATGACAGAGAAGAGCTAAATTTGGCATTATTTATTCTGTTATTAAATCTGGAGTTGATACATATTAGCAAGTTAAATTCTTTTAGCTTTATTCAAGTGTAATCAAGGACAGAATTTAACCCTTGAAATGAGAGTTGCAGAGCAAATACTCTTCTCTCAACTGTTGCTTTTCCCTGACACTGAAGGGCACTGGTGGAGTGGGATGGAAGGAACAGGTTAATGATGGGGCCATCACTTCTATGTTACCTGAACTTCCAACATTTGTTACTATTAAATACATGTAAAATCCCAGCTAACAAAACACATTTCAGAAGGCACCGGCTTTCCATGTGTTTTTTTTACTTCTGCAGCTCAGAGAATTTTCTGTGGTTCAGCAGAAAGTTGGGCATCCCCAGAATCCCATTTTATTATTTAGGGCTGGACATCCAATGTGCTGTTAGAGAACAGAATTTTACCCAACAAATCCTATCTCCCTCTGCCCTTGTTTTCTCTTTAAGCCCCTTATACCAGAGAGGTGTTTCTCCTCTGGATTGCTAAGTCATCACATCAAAAAGACAAATGTGATAACATTTCCAGACAGGTCTGGGTTGCAGAAACAGCCCGTGAAATTAGCAGTGATGGTGTTGGCCAATGGAGTGACATGAAGAGGCAAATCTGAAAAACTGAGTTCAAACTCCAAGTGTTCATTTTGCTCACATACAGGAAGGATAATGACAAGAAAGCAAACAATGATATCTTAGGAACTGCAGCTTGTTAATCTGATATTTTTACAGTCAATTTATTAAATAGCAATTCCCTGGACTTGGCAACTGGAAGGAATTATTCCCATCACTTTTAGATGCTGATAACATGGACATATACATACGGAGCAGTTGTTAAAGCTTCCCTTATAGGTGGGGGAGAGAGAAAGAGGTTTCCTCAATGGAATTAATCAGACTAGTTTTTGAGCACTACCATGGTGTGAGATGAGTGACCTCTGGCAGTGACCTGAGGGCAGCTGAGCTGAGGTGGCCACCCACGTGCATGTGCTACACCTGGACAGATGGATCCCACTCTTGCTCTCTATATTGTCATGTTTAACCAAGCTTAACTAGTTAATTATGAAGATATTTTCATGGTTCACCATAAATATTTGTAAGTCATTACAGGGTTGCTGTTCCCTACCTACCGCCCCTGTTTCCTTGACAGTAACCAGGCTGGTGCACCAGCACCTTCCTCTGGCTGTGTCTTACCACTGGGACTGGAAAACTGCCCTAAAACACCACTAGAAATCCAAATCTTTTATCCAGCTTTCCCTGGTAATCCAGGCAGCATTCTAGCTTACATTCCCAGTATTTTCCAACCTTATCCAGCCAGTGTGGAATAAGCACCTTTATCTTCATAAAGTGCACGAGGGCAAACACAATTAGACAGCGTATCAAGTGTTGATGTACAAATCCAGTTGACGCAGTTGTGTTGTGGAAGGAAACAACACAATTGAGCTGAATTGATTACAAGTCAGTGTCATGGCACAGGAACAAAAGCCCAGCTGGGTGTTTAGCTGTGAGAGGGCTTGCTGTTTAGAGGGGTGTGCACCTGATTATTTATATTTTATATATTATTATTTCTACTTCTTTACAAGAGAAATATGGGGGTGATTCGAAAGGATACTTCTGTGCCATCTAAGGGAACACTTTCTGACAATAATACAATTTGACTTGGGTTTTTAAAATAGAGTTTCTTCTCTGAATATTACCAGCCCAAGTCATGTAATCCAAATATTTGGAAAGTGTTAACAAAATGCGATTTCTTTTGGATATACAATATCCATTTATACAAATACATGAATTAGAGTGTTATTTTCAGTTTGGATGTCTTATGAGAAAAGAAAGACCAGGGTATTGGCTGTTGCCCTTCTATGTTTATGCTTTGGGATTCAAACCAATACTACAGAAAAGTTTTTCTGTATCATTTAAAGCACTAAGTTCATTAAATCAGTGCATATGATGCTAACCCAATCCATTCTAAACTAAAATATACCAGAATAAACACTGTTGCACTGCAGCATCTCTCTGTACTACCGATGAGTTTATAGTGTCCCACAAAACACCTTGGCAGGCAGATTTTTGCTCAGGATGCCTTTCTGTGCCTTGTAAATTTGGCAGAGTTTGGGGTACTCTGGTAGAGGCCATTTTGTCATGGGAGGATATTTATATATTCTTCAAATTGCTAAGAAGCTACTGAGCCTTCATTTTGTATTGCTCAGTAACGGGGGAACCTTACCTACCTTAATCAGTCATTTCAGAGCCACGTTTTAAACCTCTTTTTCAATCCATCTACGTCCATGAACAGATAAACTTCCCTTAACTTGAAATTCAGTGACATTTATGTTGATATTTAAGATTATAAGGCGAACCTACTTCAAATGTGAACACTTGTTCCAGTATGATATTGTTTCTGTCCCCTGACTGGATGTGCAATAAGTCCTCTGATTATGTTTCACGCTGGGAATGTTCCCAGAAGCAAATCTGAACTTTGCCTCATGGCTGTGCTTACATAGGTGTGTCAAGTTTGCTCTTTGCATGCATGCTCACAAAAAGAAATGGAATACTGAAGACTTTATGTATTTTTATTTTTTTTTTTCAAAGTTACAGGAACAAATTTTTGGCTACTGATTTTAAAGACCAATTGTTTTAAATGTGAAAAGATTTTAGGTTGCTGTTGAGATCAGTATTGTATCAGTACAATAGTCTTTGATCTCACAGGTCAAGTCAATATTCAGTGGTCTAAAAAAATGAATGTATCAGGTATCAACATCAACAGGAAGGTAGGAATCTGGGACTTTTAACACTGCAGATTGCGATTCTTCCTTTTCCTGAGAGGCCTGCTTGTACCTGCAGTCCTGAACAGTGTAAATTCTATATAACAGAAATTTAAACATTGATAAAGTAATAACCTACCATATTATTGGCTCAGTTACAGTCCTGTTCTCCACCAGTGCAAGGGGGTTATAAACTAAAATTAATGTTTACAGAGGATATTACCCTGGCCTGTGACAAGAAAAGCCTCTCTCCTTGCTGTGTCCATGGCCTGGCAATTCTACCCCTCTTCCTACTTCTGCAGTCAAGGAAACCAAGAACAGCCACTGATATTGTGGCCTTTTGGGATCAGGCCTGGAGACTGTTTTAATTCATGTGGAGATTTAGGCAGCCCAACCTGGCTCTGTCATGAAGGCTGGATCACAAAATATCATTTCTCCCTGTTCAGAACTTAAACCTCAGACCAAGACCAGGAGTGTCTGAGTTTCTCTGTGGTTTTGACTAATTTATGCTGCTTTTCTAGTTGTGTCTTCTGATACTGGAGAGCAGTGAACCCCAAGTTGAAAACATGGGAATATCCTAATTTGGAAATCATTTAGGCACAGTTTTTCTAAGAAATCTGAAATAAATGTGTGATGCCTATTAAAGCAAAAGGATGATTTACAGGGGCAGTTTGGCACACAGGCATGGGGAACTCTGGGAGTACCTTTAACTAATGGGGACTTAATTATCAAATGATGGGAGAACTTCTCAGTGAGTAGGACAATTAACTTCCTTTTTACTCTCTGAGTGGTTCTACTAATAATATTATCTTACACTGAGAGAATTTCAGCCAAGTGGAATTCGAGTGAGTACAAAGACAGGCACTTCTCATGATCCTACAATCTACATTGGTTCTCTATTGACAGTACTGCACAAAAAAAGGCCCTCTAAGATAGACAAAAATTTAGCAATTATCCAGTATCAGCTATGGGACTACCTTTGACATACAGGAAAAAACCTGCTCAAGAAAATACCTGTAGTTAGCTGTTTAAAATTAGGTGGCATTATCAGGGCAGTGGCAAATGGAAATTGATGGGAAAACTCAGATCGTTGTCCATGAAAAGCAACAGTTCCCACTCCATACCCAGGCTGTGAGTCTGAACTAAAGAATTTTTGTTGGGCTAGAGGTATGATTTGCTGTTCCTCACTGAAAATAACTTGGGAGTGAAAGAATTGAGACACTTTCTAGTTTTTTGCTGCAAAATTGTTATTGAATAACACTGTCTTTTGATGACAGCTAGCAAATATGGCATTAGAAGTAGCCCCTCAAATTACATAGAATAACGTAGGCAAATAGCTTAATTATTTCAAAAAGTACTTTTAAAAATAAAATTTGAACTTGCTTTGTCTCTGCAGCTGGTGTCTAAACTTCAGAGTAAATGACATATGGAGAGTCCACAGCCCCCAGATTTAACCTAGTTTCATCTGCTTTATGGTGAAATGGGAAAACATTAACAGAGAGAATTGTGAATGTATTATTGTCTTAATACACAGTATTTAGGTGTCTTCATTCTGCATCTTACTCATGGTGTTGCATTCCTCCAATTACAGGAGTCTGTAATTAATCAAATTATCTGTACAACTGTAACTTGGGATTTTGGATACTTTATATTTTCATGATTAATCCATCAAGATTTATTCACAGGTCTCACTGAAAGTTTACACAAACAAGTCAATTCAAGAAAATAATAAAGTGCTTGTAAACACAGTTTTAAAGGAGGGCAGAAGGAATGCTGTCAATCTACACAGCACTGTTCTTACTCAGCTATGAGACAGGGAGTGCAAATGGAATTCCTTAGCCATGGAGTTTATTATCTATCCTTACCTATGTTGTGAAGATTTATATTTGTTGGAGGTGTGTTAAGAGTACATCAGTCTCCTTGTTTACTTGGTGTCTGTATCTGTTTTGTCAGAAGCATCAATTATAGGTTCCACATTTTCTAAAATGTAATTTAAAGGATATATTTGTCCAGAGTTCTCTAGTTATAAAATACACCTGAAATACTGTTTTTCGCTACAGATAACTTCTTAAGCTTGTATTAGGATTGGTCAGAAGAAAGTGGAGGTCAACAGAATATGAACAGGAGGTCAAGATTGAAAGACTTCAGAAAACAATGTCTAGGACTTGGGTCTTCCTTTTAAC